GAGGTGACGGGATCCCACCTGAATTATTGAAACACGGTGGACCCGCGTTGTTGACTGCGCTGCATCACTTGGTGCAACGCGCGTGGATTGAGGAGGAGGTGCCTTCTGAGCTGAAGGATGCCCTTGTGCTACCACTGTACAAGGGCAAAGGTAGCAAGCAATGTTGCACGAATTATCGTGGCATCAACTTGCTGAGTTGTGTGGGCAAGGTGATTGCCCGAATCCTGCTCAACCGCCTCGTGAGTCAGGTTGTGGAACCAAACGTGGCGGAAGAGCAATGTGGATTCCGTTCGGGTCGCAGCACTATAGATATGGTGTTTGCGGCTCGTCAGTTGCAAGAGAAGTGCAGAGAACGACACCAGCCATTGTACTCGCTTTTTGTTGATTTCACCAAGGCATTTGATACGGTGAACCGCGGGGCACTCTGGCTGGTGTTGGGTAAGTTTGGTTGCCCGCGTAAGTTTGTAAGTTTAATTGAATGTCTGCACAGTGGTATGCGAGCGTGGGTGCAGCTGAGTGGAGAGACCTCTGATGACTTTACAGTTGTCTCTGGTGTGAAGCAAGGCTGTGTCTTAGCTCCTGCCCTGTTTAATATCTATCTTCATGCCATGTTGTCTTGTGCTTTTGATGCGGCTTGTGCTTACGGTGTTCGTGTGGAGCACCGTATTGATGGTGGATTGCTGAACATCCGTCGTTTCGGTGCGAGAACTCTCGTCTGTGAGACAACTATCCGTATGTTGCTGTTTGCTGACGACTGTGCGTTGTTTTCACACAGCGCGGATGAGTTGCAGCACATGACTAGTGCTCTGGCTTCCACAGCGGCCAAATTCGTGCTCACCATCAACACAAGCAAAACTGTCCGTCTCTTTCAGCCTTCACCGGAGGTGAAATCTGCAATGGTGCCGCTAATCAGCATTGGTGCTGAAGTATTGGAACCACCTCCCGTTTCAGCTACCTTGGGAGTGTGATGTCGACTGATCAGCAGCTACACGTTGAGTTGCGTAATCGCGTGTCGAAGGCGGCAGCGGCATTCGGGAAGCTTGAGTACCGAGTGTGGAACAACCATCAGCTTAGCATTGGCACGAAGCTGATGGTGTACAAATCCATGGTACTGTCCGTTCTTCTATACGGCAGTGAAACGTGGACGATGTACCGTCGGGATGTGCGATATCTCGAGCGGTTCCATCAGCAGTGTCTGCGACGAATTTTGCGGATCGGCTGGGGCGCCAGAGTTGCAGACACGGAAGTGTTGGGCCGAAGTGGGATGTATGCAGTGGACGGCATACTTTTACTGCGACACCTGAGATGGCTCGGTCATGTGAGCCGTATGGATTCGACGCGGATACCGAAACAACTTTTATACGGTCAGCTGAGTATAGGGAAGCGGCATGCTGGGAAACCCAAGTTACGTTACCAGGACATGATTAAAGTGAGCCTCACACGTTCTAATCTTGATTGCGGATCATGGGAATCGAAGGCGGTTGATCGGCGTGCATGGCGCGATCTCTTCAAGAAGGCAGTTGCTGAAGTGCGGGAGAAAGACCTCATGCGTGCAGAGAAGAAGCGGCAAGTGCGGAAGCGGCAAGCACCGATGAATTGTACTCCATCGACATCGAGCGCATTGTGCTGTAGAACATGCGGTCGCGAGTGCCTTAGTCAGACAGGCCTAGTGAGCCATGAGAGAGGTCACTCGGGACCACTGCTGAAGCGACGACGGGTCCCGTAGTGAACGTAGGCAGCACCGGCGCAGCGTTTGTAGGCACGCTGAATTCGATTTACTAACCGCATGCTTGCATACTAAGTCTCTTTATTTCAGGTGGTGGCTTTTCGGTTCTCTCCCAATGCCTTTCTTTCTCATATAAATGTCTAGTGGGCCATGCGCTGTGCCATTTGGGGCCACTACAGAAGCGACGACGGGTCCTGCAGAGAATTACGGCGAGCCGGCGCAGCGTTTGTAGGCACGCTGAATTCGATTTACTAACCGCGTGCTTACATGCTAAGTCTCTTTATTTCAGGTGGTGGGTTTACAGTTTTCCCTTAATGCTTTTCTTTCTCATATAAATATCTCCCTGTACACTATTCCATTAACTTGCACACATCGCTTCAGCCAATTTTATTCGATTTCCATAACATTTTTGTGTTCGTGGCCTTCCGTGAACTATACTTCCTGACCTCGTGCACTTAGCTAGGATCTGTTTGTAAACAACTTATTACGTATGCTATTTAATTAAGGTTTATGTCAACGTTTCCTTATGAATTAATCGAGTTTTTCTCTTTTTCTTTCTCTCTCTCTCAAGTGTTTGGCTGTTGTTTGATATACCCGGTGTGGCTGCGCTTGATGTGCACGTTGACAAGGTGCCTACTTCATATGGTAATTTAGCGAAGAGTTATGCCACCGTATCTCTATGCAATCTTGGATTTATTTTATTTCAGCTTGTCGTTTAAAGTGAATGGGTGTTGTTTGATATCCCTGGTATAGTTGCGCTTGATGTGTATGTTGACAAGGTGCCTACCTGTCTATTACCCACTACATCGTTCATACTGGCTCCAGGAGACAGTTGGTCGTTGCTGGAGGGGACGGGGTGCACGATTCTTGTGGCCGTGCTAGGCTCGAAGAGTGGTTCCATGCACTCAGTGTGGAGCGGACTACAGTCCAGCCACCGCCTTGTGTGCGCTTGATTTCCCAAATACAGCGTGCTTGTGTTTGCCTGTGAAGGAGTGTGGGCCGGCTCCGTTGATGAAACGTGGCTCCCATCCACATGCCTCCCGGTCTTATTCCTTCGGGTTTACACTGGAAATGTTGTGTGTGGTTGGAGCTGTGGGTGGTGTAGCGCAAGCCACCCGTGGTCCCTCTGTAGGCGCAGGCGTCCTGTGGCTGGCCACAGTGACAGGCAAATCCGAAACCGGATGCCGCCAACCATGACACATAAACTGGGTGAGCGGAAAGGTGGTAGGAGTTAGGGGTCAGATCATATGCTTCATCTTGTGGACTCCGTAACACTTCGGTCGAGAGGGCAGGTAACCATGGGGCATAGGGTGGGTAGACCAATAGTCGGTGGGACTCCAGAGTTAGCTTGCGTCATCCATCTTGCGAACTGCGTGGTAAACTTACCGATTACACCGAGGGCATAAAAGAAAGTTTCCTGACTTTTTGGAAAGTTTTACAGACAAGCGTGGACCGAGAAAGTTTCTGGGACAAAAAATACCGAGATACTTGACGGTGGAAGAGCTGGGTATGGGATTTTCATTCACAGTAAGTGTGGAGGAGAGATTTATGAGACTACAATTTATCGCCACTGAGAATAGGAAATAGTACATCTCTGCACTAAGCGTAAGAGATCTGGATGAAGACCATTCCAACAGATCTTCCAACCCACGTTGAAGTGATGAGGAATCCTGGTTAGTGGGGGCCATACATCCCAGCATAACATCAGCAGCATATTTACACCCCATAAACATGGTTTGTATAGGTGGATGTTCAAGATACAAGGAAAATAGGAAAGGTGATGGGATCGCTGCCTGTAGAACACCACAGTCGGCACGGAGGACAGAGGATTTCTTCCCGTTGCATTTCGTGAAATGAGTACGATCTATAAAATAGTCACGTAACAGATTACACACACCCGGTTAAACTCCCTTTCGGATAGCAGGTTTAGCAACATTGACCTATCCAGGCTTCCAAAGACATTCCAATGATCTAGGAAAGGAAGCCGTACGGATTTACATTTTGATGTAATGCGAAGGCTATAGAATGAACAAGATATTCCACTGCATCCAATGTGGAGCGCTGGGGTCTATGTGTAAACTGGTAGATATCGTCATCAAGAGCGGCAGAAGAACATCCGCGGAAGTAACAGTCTTTCGAAAACTTTTAGGAGCAGAGATGTACATGCAATTGAGCGATACTTTTGAGATCCACTTTTTGGTATTGGTGTGATACTGGCGATTCTCCAAATGTCTGAAATTACACTAGTAGTGAAGCATTTGCTAAAGCGCTCTGTTAAAGGCAGTGTGAAAGAATCAGTACACTCCTTCAAAGCTGATAGTGAGAGAGCATCCGGACCAAAAGCTTTGTTTGCCTTTAATCTTTTAAGTTCCCTGTGAATGTTGCTTTGATCGAAGGTCGCGGAAGGACTTGAGCTAATGAAGGAGGGCAAGGAAGATGAGCTTAGCAAGGCGGAACTAAACTCCGAATTCAGTATATCCACATCCCCTTCACCGCTCTGGCTTCAAACGCTCTTACTACATAGCTACTTCAGAAACCTCCATAGATCGCGACAGTTATGGTTGACTAGAACTGCTTCGACAGTCTTTTTATCTCCGATTGAATTGCTGTGGTTAGGCTTTTGACACAGATAGCATTTTTGCACTTGTAGGCCCATTCTTTCATCCTTTGAAGTCGCTTTAGTGATGGTGATGAAAATCTGTCTGCTCTTAGATAGATCAGTTCAACAGGGCAACACATGTAAAAGCAATATTTGATGTAGTCCGTAAGACGGTCACATTTGAGCGACAGGTCCTCCTCGTTGAAGACTGAAAATCAGTTAGCGAAAACATCGTCTGAAGCCTCGTGATAGTTTCCAAGGAACACTTTCGCCGTTTAATAATATTGTAAGGACGTGTGGTCACCGTTAAAAATTAGATCTGCTGTATTTGACTGGACACAGTTTTAAAATACAATGGTCTGAGCTGCTCAAAGGATCCCACTTTTGTGTGGCAAACAACTGTCGTTTATTTGTGAACACAACGTCCAACTGGACATCTTGTCTGGTCGAAACAGTCACTAGGTCTACCAAGCCAAGTGTGTTCAAGAACTTTGTATATTTTCTATTGAAGTCGCCAGAAACAATCCGGACAGAAAAATCTGATTTAAGCAGTAGCGTTGAAGAAACTTGGTCCTCAAAAGCCTTAACTCCTGCTAACAGCCATAAATGGTCACCTACACGCACATACCACAAAATGCAACGCGTTCGAAAAATGCCGGAAAGTAGGTAACTCACTTTGAATACAAAAGTCTCGTTGAAAACCGGATTGAGGTTCTTGCGGTGTACCTTTGTTTCAAATTTACGCTTTTTATCCGGTAGCAGATACAGTTTGACGTACGGATCTGAAGTGCCACACATGTCCATAGCCGGTAGTTCCACGGCCTCCAGTACACCCACCGTCAGCTGTGATAATATAGTAATCGGTGAAACTAGTCAGAGACAGCCAAATCTGTTCGTCAGCCAAATGTAACTGATTAATTAGCTACATGAAATGATCAGTTTATTTCAGGCTTTATTCCCATTGGGAAGTTACTTTTGAGCCCCTGGGCTAAGTGGAGCCGATAACGTGATAGCGGCATGTAGCCAGCAACGCTGCTTGGACGACGTGTAACCCTTGTCTGGAATTTTCTGATGCTATGGTATATTAAAACTGAGACTGCAAATTAAAATCTGAGTTTAAATGCCATATGGGCTGTAGAATACCTTTCACTTCGCGATGAGTTTGTCCTCAGTAATACCAACTGACTCGGAAACTGGTATACGCCTAGTCCTGCTATACATGTTAGAGATGCCGGCAGAGAACAGGAAGTAATTGAAGGACTTTTTGCTATTCAAATGCCATGTACAATTGTTACTGCAAATGCAACATAGATTCGAGCCACTGTTCAGGATCCGCACACCGCGATCCAATGCCACTGACCAACTGCGCAAGCGTCCTGATTAATGAAGCGAATAATGCTGGCTTCTCCATCCCAACGCTAAATCTATATTTGCGAAAATCGGTAATCTTGTTTTCTATCTTCATTTTTGACTCTTTGATTCTTAAAATCAGGGCTGCCCGTCAATGGGATGAATATGAGATAACTGCAGGCGAACTCTAATAATTTAGCCCTCCTAATCAGCACTGCGTTTCAACATCGTGTATGTTCGAACACACCGTGTGTAAGATTCCAGCTGCGTTTATCAAACCGGACTGGTTTCCATAATTTACTGTCCGGTCATGTTGTTCTATATAATGTAAACATGCCCGAAGCGTGCATGTTAGAAAACGTCTTGACGACACATAATCGTACTGCGGTTAAGTGATATAGTCCGTCTGACTCAGAGGATGAAAGAAATTAGACCACTAGCCCTTTCAGTCAAATGTGTATATTTTAGTGAATCGATTCATTCCATGATTGCTCCCATTTTCCATGTTGTTTTTTAACCTCTGGTTTCAAAATCCGCACTCTGATCATCCTACGGGACTTGCCAACCACTCGATTACTTGCCCTCTACAAAGCATTGTCCAGTATTCCACATCAGTGAAGTGTATCCAACATAGTACAACACGAAAGTACCCGGGTTTATGATACACCCATACTTAAGTTACAGTCTTTCGTTCCTGAGTTGACCCAGAGGATCACACAATGCTTGTACACTCAAATTACTTTCTAAAGTTTATTTTTTGCGAGGTTACAGATATACTTTATCCATATTTACTGCAGCTAACTTCACCTTTTCTAAGTGGTAACTGACTCCAGTTTTGTGCTTTTGCACTAAACAATGGTGAAAGTTTAGCAGAGGACACTTGCGTTACTGCGAAAGGCACACAATCTTCATTAATACAAGACATCAAGTACATTACGCCATACCTAGCAGCTTCAAGATAGCCAGAAACTAAATGGACAGCTACTGAAATATCCCTGAGCTAGGTCTCATTTTTCATCAAACTATGGAAAAACACGAGTTCCAGGGTCTGTCATCGAAAGTCATAATCCTTTTTTCTCCGAAGCTTCTGTCGTCAAGTGTGCTAGACATTAAGAAGATCTTTTCGCAACACTCATACTCGTCCAAAGCTGACCTTGTCCAGAAAAACGATTCGGTGATGTACCCAGTGTTCTGCTTCAGTGTAATCAACCATCTGCTTATCATCATTTCTGACCATGCTAAGGATGTTCCAAACAGCCAATATCGGAACCATGTTGCATGTTGACAAAAACGCCGTCAAACATGTCAGTTTCCGCTATCGCTAGATGAATTGATTAGCCCTAATCTGCATATCCGGTAAGCTGAGTGGTAAGAAGTTTCCCTGACTATCTCAGTATTTTGCGTATATACTGCACGGGCTTACGTTCGTTTATTAAACTTTGAGTCACATCGCGAACAGTAATAAAGGAATCCGCTAGCTCAACAATTGGCGGTTTGCAGCTAGATGTATTCTAACATATTATAGACACCTAACCTCTAATAGCTTTAGTCCATCAGTTATAACCACAATACAATTGAGCAACAGGTCCTTAAACTCGTCGACCAAACGGAATTACGGTTGTAATCAACCAGCTGTTGTTCTCTCTGCATAAAACTCATGCAGTGGCAGTGTAATTCTCTATTTTTGACGGATGTGGGTTGGAAATGATTACGCTGATTACGTGATTTCTTCGACAAGCTATCTAGAATGATGTCCTTATTGATAGCGAATATCCCGTGTTACCTATAAACCAAAGTGGTATCATTTCTCTGATGTCAGTGATTGAATCGTTCCGCGTATATCTTGGAATCATGTTACCCGCTGTGCACGATGTGTTTGAACACAGGAAACCTGTGCCCACAGGAAAGTACTAATTGCACGAGAAGTTTCGTTGCATCGCCCATACAAACATGCTATTTGTTTTGGCCTAACACCATTGTGCACCTACGCAATGAGGTTGTTTGCACGAACCATTTGGCACACTAGTGATGTCATTGATAGTTGCGTTGTTTAACGGAAAGAGCACTCGATACTATTCATGATGACCTCGGGGTTGCTAGCCTTATACCAGAACCTGGTAGTCAACCGCTGGAAAGTGATCTAGATGATGCAAACTTTTAGCCTAAATTACTTTAACCATATCCTATCAAACGCCGCTTGTCCAAAATCTGCTTCCTCAGCAAGCACTCAACCATAGATGGGACCACAAACCTCATCGTGCACTCCACTTTACTGAATAATAAACACTTTTGATACACATTTGAAGTCTGTAGTTACATTAGCTGTGTGAGTTCTACACTGTTCATTAAATGACCAAAGGGCATTTTACCTGACTGCTACTTCCATAACTGTTTGTAGGGCCAAGCGCTTGCTCTACCGTTAAGCGTCTTCGCCAAAGTCTTATTTCATGCCATTGGTACAGCTGTATGAGTAACTGAACGAAATGAATAATGTGGAAAACCGCTCTCCGACTTCAGCCTAACACCAAGTGTGATTCACCTCAAGTAAACCATCCAAGTTAAGTCCGATATTCCGGTACTTCATTCCCCAGTATCCCCCACGAAATCGGTGTCCACAAACTCGTATCACCGTATCGATCCCCAATATCCGTACTCAACATTGTGAGATGACTCACTCTATAGGATCGATGGTGTGGGAATCGGGCCTGTGAGGAGAATTCAACCCTGGGACTGCCTACCTTTGCGACTCCAGTGGTGAAAAGTGTACCAGACCATTTTACTCTGGTGATCAGCAATTAGTAGAGTTCTTTGTTGAATCTCAGGGCGTAATCTGATCTGAAAGGTCGAGCAATTTAAGAGCGATGCAAGATGAGGTATGACGTGACAAAGCTGAAAGCGTACGCAAAGTCTGTCATATTTGTGTCGTTTGGTTGTGTGAAACAGGCATCCTTCCGGTCGGTCGTGTGGTTCTGCTTCTACGCACTTCATACATCAAACTGTCACGCAAGGACGTCATTATTTAGTGAGGTGCGGCTACTTTTAGGGCAGAGCTAGACTAAAGACAACCTAACATTAACACACCTGTTATTCTCGCACACATAGCGTCACCTAATTTAATGTCTTTACTTACATTTTTAAATAGTACACAGTTGCTCAACTATATATGAATTACCGTTGACTGGGAAACTGCGCACGAATGTGAGTGATACGTTAAAGTCTTAGAAGCCTTATACTTTCAGTTACAGTCACACCAATCGACTGGTGACAGTGGCTACTTTAAAGTGGCCGGTATCTCCGAATAAAAGAAAGGAAGTTTTGACAAGGATAAAACTCGCACACGAATGAGTAGACTGGGGGTTGTGACTAAAATTAAAATTACTGTCTACTATCAATCCCTACTACAAATAACCATTACGACATATTTTGTGTTACTGGTATCATAAAGCAAGGTTTAGCCATGCTGCCTAAAATAGGCAGGTCTATCACCTATGTGCTTAACGAAGGAGCAGACTCAAGCGACAATTATTAACATCTCGGTTTTCAACCTCGTCATTCCTTACCTTGTCTTGGGGCGGAGAATTTCAAGCGGGCATACCAGGTGAGATACACCGCATTCTGTGTACTCCCAAGTAAAGTACCAAAATTAATATTTAGAAGCCCGATTTCTCTGCGCTCGGGATAAGCCAGTCGCCTGAGCGGAAACCAAATTTCTTTTTATTTAAAAGAATCGTTTTGTGGTTGTCTACTCATGGACGAATCTACCACTCAGCGTAACAGCGTAGTTAACACTAGAACGCTCAGCCTGAATGTCTCTCCCTGCGGACTGATAAATTGTGTCAAGTCTTCCGACCGTTTATTGTACTGAACTGAACTCTATGGCCTAAGCACGGCAGATACCGGCCTCTAACGCTACCGCACAAATAACTGTAAGCATCCACTCCTATTTTTAGCTTTGATTACTAGCAGCTACCCAAGATGTATGCCAACTGAATCCGGTGATTTATAGCTTTCAAGATGGTGACAGGTTAAGGAATGTTTAATTTCATTTGCCAGACTCACTTCTGCCTTCTGGAAATCGTAATCCAAAGTGAAATGCAACTTTCCAGCACACACCTTCTCTTTCTCTCCCGATTGCTCAGCCTCGTTCTCTTCCACATCCGCTTTGAGAGCAATTAAATCCTGTCCGAAATAGTAAAATGAGCGATTTGTCAAGCAGTTTAGTTTGTCTGCGCAACGGTACAAACCAATTTTGCAGACTGGGTACCGAATGCTTTTTTATACTTAGGCCTGACCATACAAAAGAGAAGGTTCGAATTCAGACGACCATCGTTGGCCCTTTCAAATATCATATCTAGCTTATTCCGAAACACCCCAGTAGAAAAATTACGATGTGGCGTTGGGGAATTTGAACCGTCGTGTCCCCCTTGGCTACTTCAGGGAAGTTAAAATATAACGCGTGCTGCAATGTAGCGACAGATGCAATACATACGGGGTGTAAACTATTGCTCATAACATTTACAAAATGTAATAAGGAGCATTAAATCTAACTGACTGACTAAATGGTTTTAGCGCGCATAATGCTGGGCGGTTTGTTGTGAGCAGTAGCGCTTCGCCAACTGTCAACTTTTGCAGATTCCTGCCAACTAAAATGAGTGAAAGCGTTGGAGGTGGACCGGTGTTGCTTCTCCCAATACTGACACCTCATAATCGGTTTTGTCCTGGTTTGAATTCATCAGATGGAGATAGACTGAGCTGGGGTGAAGCTCGGGCCTAGTGGTTAAAGGCTGACACCTTGATCAGTATGCCTCTAAGATCCTTGAGCAATGCTTGGCACAGCGGTAAGCAATACAAAGTTTGATTTATAGTACTGGCGTGTGGTTGGATTGCGACATGCCAGCTCTATCGAGATCTCGGTTTACATTGAAGTATGCCTCGGTCACTTCGATCACAAAGACTGTACCTGAAGTGGAGGTGTTTCATTGCTGCTTCTCCCAACCCTGACACACCCTAACCGGCACCATCTTCGTTTGGTCTCATCATATGGAGATAGCCAGGGCTGGGTTGGAACTCGGGGCCTAGTGGTTAACGGTTGACACCTTGATCACTATGCTACTAAGATCCGTGAGCAAGGCTTGACACAGCGGTAAGGAATCCTACGTTGGATTTGAAGTGAAAGCTTTCCATGCTTCCAAATGTTGATGGGTCGTTACAAGGTGCCTTTCAATCAACCATAAAATTTTCCGTCTTGTTGTGAAATCGACTGTCATAGCCAACTTGGAAGGTGTTGGGTCACTCTTAGTGCCAGTCCACGATCAGGGCTGCAACGTTTCTTTTCTTGCTACGTTGATGAAATACAGTTTTATTTTGTTCTGTTATTTGCTCCAACAGCGTTGCCAAGTGACTCGACCGTTTCAGCAAATGGCCGACTGAAGTGCTGGCGTGCAATTGTTAGCATTTTCTCCTGGTTGAATCTGATCACATATGAAGTTAAAATGCATTCACTTGGATAGTTCTTTTGACAGAACAGTACAATTAATCTTATCCTAATGCCGCGTCCCTCATTTTAGGATCCGTTTAGAATCCATTGTATAACAGGTGCATACTTACATGTTTCACGAAATCACGTTGTACAAATTGATCACAGCATTCAGCTGGACTGTGCCTCTCATTGTCTATGAATGAGCAGTCTATTTATTTAATTATATCTGCTATTCATCATATTAGTAGTCAAGACAACATTCAGTGTGCTAAACAAATAATCGAAAATCTACTTTCACCGGTTACAGGAATCAACAGTTCTCTAGCGGAAACATATCGCTTATATGTTATGGTAGAAAAAATCATTGTCAGTAATGTAACAGCGGTGCGCTGCCGGGTGCAGACATGGAAAAAATGCTCCTTTGGGTTAGGTAGCTGATTCTCATCTACCTAGTATTCTGGGTGGTATAGTGTAAAATAAACCTCCGGGGTACTTGGTTTCAAGTTGTGAAAGGCGTTACCAAAAGGAGGTGCGTTGTTCTGTCGCTTTTATTGCCTTACTTCTCCTATCTAGTTGCTTTGTACCTTTAATGATTTCTCACTGAAGTAAATGGACCTGTAAACGAGATGACTTTAATTTTTTCGGATAAAAATGAGCATCGCATATGGAAATTGTTTGTTACCCGCCCAAAATATTGTACAACTGTTGCGGGCACGTCAAATATTCCCGCAAAAACACGCCAGAAACCCCGGGCAAAATGGCTGTGGAAACCGAGGACCAATTCCGCCCCACAACGCAGTAGAGCTCAGCCACTCCGAGACGCGACACAACTGCGCACCTTTCGACAATGCTCATTTGCAAACTACCACCTCTGCGTGGTGACTGCTTTCCCTAACTTAATAACCCATAGCATTAACTGTGATCGCGCTTTGTCGGTCGTAATAGAGCCTACAGAGAACCACTTGCCTTTTCTTTCTCTTCGCCTCAGTTGGGAGTCGGTCGGGTCGCGCGATTGCGTGTGAGTCGTTAGCTGGCCAGCCTTCGCGTCTAAGTCATTAGCGCGCGTCTATCGTAACCCTCCCCTCGTCTGCGTCCGTTCCGAGGGCTCAGCGTCAATCCGAACACGTGCGGCTAGGGTTGTTCACAAGCTCGCTCAATTATCCGCCTCACCGGCTAAGCTAGCGTCATCAGGACAGCGCAATTCCGTTCGAGTGCTCAGCGTATCAAGCCGTCATCGTAGGCGTGCTCCAACCGTGCGAGCGACAATCTTATCAGGCAATTACGCAATTATCTCAGAGGCGGCGTTCCCTCAATTATAACAACAACCAAGACGCGTTTGGATGTTATTTAATCTCCTTATGTGAAGATAGCAAGTCCAAAACCCGCCATCATTTGAATAGTAGCCGAGATCACTACCTCTTTGGCTATCGGTTCACGCCGGGAAACGTTTGGAACAACGGTGTATAATTGACTGGAGGGACAATTCGGGACCACACATTGCGTGATTGGGTTGCGACGCGCAACTTCAATATAGATTGCGATTCACATTGAAGTGAATCTTGCTCACTGCGATCACTGGGACAGTATCCGGAGTAGATGAAAATTGGTTGCTGCCCGCCCGAAAACACGGCACAACCGCGACACCTTTCGATGTAATTTGATCACATCAGGTGGCGAGAGCAGGGCTCAAAGCCGCGACCATCGGAATAGTAGCCGAAACCTCTACTCCTCTGGCTACCGGGTCACGGCGAGTAAGTATTCGCAAAACGGCGAATGACTGATTGGAGGGTCCGAGACCATAGTGACTTTCACTTAAAAGTTAATCGCAGTCTACATTGAGATTGTGCAATGCAATCCAACCACACAAGGTGTAGTCCAAAATCGGCCTTCCAATCAAACATCACATATCTTTCCCATGCTCTCATACTTCAGCATCTAGCTACATCATACTCAGTTCAACTACTTCACAATTCCCATGAGTTGACAACCTTTACTCGAAAGCGGCTGACGTGGCAGCTGCGAGCATACCCGAGCCATTAATATTATTGGTTACCATGCTTGGATTAACAGCATGTCCCTAACATGTGAAAACATGACATCTGTCCCGTACGCACTTGAGTATCCATTCGTAAACACAGGCCCTCACATGATTGGTTGAGAATTACCTTGTCTTACTTTCCTTATTTCATTGGTTTTCCTTTCCGGCTTTTCTAGCCACTCTAACGCAGGATGTTTTTAGTAAATCGGTTCCATACTACGCGTGCGCGTTCTGTTACGTTCATCGGCTAAGGGCCATACTTAAGATTCTGGTGACAAGATTGAACTACTGCGATGTTGCACCTTCCTACACTGCTTTGGAATATTCCTTCTGATAAACCTACAGCGGTCAACTGGAACCGCTGGAAGCGTAACTTTTTGGATTATTTGCAGCTACTACCCGTCTTGCAACCAAACACGGTACTCTCAGATAGCACCAAAGTTAAATCATTGAGAAAATTTCTGGGGGATGAAGGCCAAAGACATTTTGATGCCCTCCATGTCGGTGAGAAGAAGACAGTCAACAATGCGCTAGGAGGCCTCAGCTTGTTATGTGGTTCACGACTGAACCCATACACTGCGCGGTATTCTTTTGCGACCTTGTCTCAAAACCCTGAAGAAAGTGTCATTGATTTCATTGCCCGGATTCAGCAGGCCCTATCAGAGTGTCGGTATAGTGAAATCCCAGTTACCAAGTTCGAATAGGCGATGGCTTTACAGTGCTTGATATCCAGTATAAGTAACGAACAGGCTCGTGAAAACTTGTTGTCGGAAGTCGAGACGTCGACGAACTGGGAGAAGACCTGCAATGTTGTTCGACAGCTGGAGAATGTCCATAAACAGTTAGCGGCTTTTACCTCGCAGCCTCATACAGACACAATTCAAGCAGTCAAACGAAAAGGTGTTACCCCGAGACGATCCGAATTGCCTTCTACCTGTTACCGATGTGGAAGTCAGCATTTATCAGCCAAGGAATGTCGTCATAAACATAGTATCTGCCGCCAACGTGGAAAATTGAGACACTTAGCCCTAGTTTGCCGATCAAAAATATGCACAGCCGTGACATCTCTTTTCCTCAAGAAGCCCGTGAATGGAATCCAGTCTTCAGACGAAGAAGACAAGGTAAACACGAGCTGGAAAGCAACGTCGAACATTTACAGCATTCACCCGCCCTACACTGTGCAATTGGAAATAGAAGGGCAGTTAATTAGAAGGAAAGTTGATACCGCTGAATCAGTTACCATAATCAGTGCTTCACCAGTTAAAACATTACCCAAGTTATCCCCCTGTGAATCAACTTTGCGTATGTACACTGGGCAGCCGATACCAGTCCTGGGAAAACGCACTGTTCATGTAACGTACTATGGGGAGAAGCGAACCTTACAGGCATATGTTATGGCTAGTGATTGTCGGAACTTACTCGGGCGCGACTGGATTAAATGGCTTCCGGCCACGCTAGAGACAGTGAAGTTCATGTGCATTAACCAGCACTTGGAGGATGTGCTCAGCAAATATTCTAACGATTTTGATGAGAAACTGGTAAAATTCCACGAATAGCAGGCTAGTATCGATTTAGGGCCAGGAACTTAGCTCGCTTTTTCAGGACATGTACCCTAACTTATTCCATGAGATCAAAGTTGGAAGACGAGATAAAAAGATTGCA